ATGATTCGCATCGTTGTCTTTGCGTGGTGTTCTGAGGTCTGGACACAGCGCGGTGCTGCTGCTGATGTCGGTAGCACGCTAGAGAAGGCCGATGCGCTCAGCAGCAATAGCGAAATGAGATGAACAGCAGCAGGACCGAGCCGTCTTAGCAATACGTGCTCATGGAAAAACACAAACACCATGGGCGCGTCGTGTGGCGGCGTCTTGAATTCCCATGGAAGTTCTTGCCCTGTGGCAGAAACCGGCTACTGCCACTAGCGTGTGTCAAAAGTGGGTCCGGGCTGTGACGTTCGAGGCTCTCCCAGAACACCCTTCTTTTCATCTACGCGGTCTGGATCACCGGCCACGACTGCGCGCTACCCTATAACGTCCATCTCAGCTTCAGCCCGCCTGTAAGGCCATAGTCGCGGCATCTGTCATGCCGTGTGGCAGCGCTCATATATGCCATTTGTCCCTTTTCCCATCTTCTTCCACCACAGACGTCACCCCTCATGGCGATCCCTACCTTTCCGAGTTCTTCTGTCCCAGACCTCACTGAAGTCTTGGAGCGACTTGGGCTCACTCAGTATGCTCAGGTGCTCGCTGAGAATGGGTTCCACAACTGGGAGACGGTTGTAGACATCACGGAGGACGATTTAACAGCGCTCGAGTTCAAGCTTGGCCACAGGAGATTACTACAGCGAGAGATTGCCACGTACCGCGGCATCCCTCAATCACTATCACTGGAGCCAGAAAATAACTCGCCTGAGCCGACGTCATTATCGACCTCCGCTTTGGAAAGTTTCACCAGGCAAACAACGTCCCTGCCACCACGAGAGAAGAGGAGGTACAGGCGGCATCCGCGGGCAGACCCAAATGCGCCAAAGAAGCCAAAGACAGCATGTACGCTCTTCGCACATGATATCATCAGGACTTGATCTAACTTGTTGTCAGATGTAAACTTCGCCGACCAGCTTCGTACCGACCCTGAGGTCAGCCAACTATCCTTTGTGGATATAGCTCGCGAAGTCGGTCGGAGATGGCAGGAGCTTCCTTCAGAGAGAAAGCGTATCTGGGAAAGCAATGCGGCCCGAGCCATGCAAGAGTTCGAAGCCCAAATGGACGACTACAAGAAGACGGATAACTGGCGAAAGTATCAGGCCTATCTGAACGAGTTCAAGTCGCAACAATCAAGTCCGAGCATTGGCAAACAGCGACCGACGAATAGTCGCTCAACGACCGACACTTCTAACAACACGAGACAATACTCACGTGCTAGCCCGAGCTCTTCAGACAGCCCGGTATCTCTCCAATCAAGCAGCATATCAGCCGGACCCGAAGCCGAAGCATGCCACAATGCTCTGACGCTGGCCTTCAGTGAGTTGGTCACCCTCAGAGGCGAGATACTCAATGGATCCGGCCAGCAGTTCAGTCAAGCATTTTTGCCGACCGAGGATCGTGTTCGGCGGTCCATGTACGCGTTCGTGCAAGGAACTGGGTCGCTGCTCTTCATGTGGACTTATGATGAGGTTAATGAGATACTTGACCGTATCTACCGGCCCCAAAAGAAGGTGGACGACATGACACTTGCCGAATGCTTCACAGTTGCTGCTATGGGCGCGCATTACGACATCGATGCCTACCCTGATCGGATGCGCCGATTGCTCTACGCATCTGGGACCCTTCATTTCAACGAGCAGACTGCCAGACAAGACTATTTCCGCACAATGCGCTTGCTATTATCTTTGTCCTTTTATTCTTTGCTCGAGAAGCACATGAGCGCCAAGTATCTTATCGGTATGTTCAACTCGTACACTTGATCATGTGATTGTACTAACAAGCCACAGCTGCAGGACTACAGATCGCCCGTTGGAAGTATCCGGCTCTGCAAACTTCGTCTCGCTCAGCAACGGACGACCACTGGAGAAAGATATTCCGTAGCCTCGTATTCATGGATTCATGGCTTGCCTACACCCTCGGCTATCCCACTGAGGTGACAGCCAGTGACATCCAGGTATGCCAGGGCGAGCCTATATTGATTTTCATGATACTAACATGGCTAGGTCGCCTGCATTGCCCATCGCCAAGATCAGCTGTCCATCGATGAACTCATACACATGCAAACCAGCAAGATCAACCTGATAGCCGCCGAGGTTGCCAAGACACTGGCATCTCCAGAGCTAGCTACCAAGGGGAACATCACCATGCTCACAATGAAGCTGGAAAAGTGGCGTGAAGAAGTTCCGCAAACGTTGCAGATCCCTACGCTTCTGTCTAGTGCCGCACAAGACTTGACAGTCTTCCAAAGGCGAGCGGTCTTTATGTTGCACGTAAGAAAATCTTCCATCTTCTTGTATCATCATTTTATTGACTGATTCAGATCATGTATCTTGGTGCACTGGTCCTGCTATACCGCCAGCTACTAGTGGCTTCAGCAGAAGCCCAGCTTATCGACGGAATTCCATCTGCGTTGAATAACATTTCAGTCGAAGATGTCAAGATATACCGACAGGAATGTGCAATGGCTGCCCAGAACATTGCTCGCATATTGAGCCTTATCTCTTTTGACGGTACGCTGACAACGCGTTGCTGGATCATGTAAGTTCGTATACAAAACCCGAACACCCCACGAACTAACGATCATAGTATTTACTGGGCATTCTCAGCTGCCATTTGCCTGCTCTTCAGCGCAACGACTAAACTCATGGACGGTCAAACTGAAGGAGTCGAAGCTGATCTCACGTACGCCAAGTCGTGCATGGATATGCTCGAGCCATGTAAACCATGCGAACCCGTCGCCGCGCGATACCTGGAGACACTCTGGCCCCTATACGACCACTTGCAAGATGTCCATCGTCGGATGATCGGCAGATCAAAGAGCAGCATCTTCGCCATCCTGCAGCCTGATCCCAGTCTGCTGAGCCCACCCATACCTGTGTCGAAGCAGGAGATGGGCCCGATTTCAGAGAAGCTTACAATGCTACTTACGGATCCTTTCGGGAGGAAGCAGACTGCCGACGGCACCCAACGACGCATCCTTAGCAACGATGGGTCGTACTCAGTTTTCTGGTTTAGGTGAAGAAGGCTTCGCTGATATTGTAATGTTTTATCATCGACCAGAGGATACCGGCGGCACGGTCTGGCCAAACAAATCTTAGAGTTCATCAGAGCTACCGTTCTCGATATCGAAGTGCAACAAACCACAAAAGGCCGATGCATAGCTTGTCCGTTATCTGAAGTCCACTGGTAGCCAAGTCCGATAGACGCAAAGTCTACATTAGCTGCAGTCGTTTCTTACAAGACGAATCTGTCATGCTACTAAATATGGCATCATTCTCGAACGCTTGTCACTCCGGCGTGCGCTACAAGACAATTGATCGATAGCGCGACTGCACGTTTCAGTCGTTCCTGACTAGCAGCCAAATCGACGGATTACAAGCCGATGCGCCTGCACGTCCCAGGGGTCTCCTACTGTACTGGTGGGTGAGCGTGGGGGAAGAACGAAGACCGGAAAGGGGGAAGAGGCGTCGATATCAGCCGTGGTACTGGCTGGGCAACGTCATCTCAACAGCGAAACTGATAGTTTGCACCACGATAGTGCATCTCAAGCAGGAAAGTTGAGACTGCATCCTGCTGTAGCGTCGATCACGGGAGCGCCCGTCCTCCGTAGCGCAAACGCCATCGTCAGCCAATTCCCACTCAGCCCGTATCAGCCTGTATCTGAATCAATCATTGTAGCGTCATGAAAATTTCACCACCAATCTTCCGTTCCACGCAAACATTTCTGTCCTGTCATTGTAGCATGTTGCGATGTTGACGGGACGCACCCTGTTCACGGCCGCGGTACCAGCAAGCGATACGCGTAATTCGGCTCCATATTTCATAAACCGAGCGATATCGCCAGCGACGCAGGGCCGAATAGTTCGCAGTGCAGGTGTAAGAACCATTCGCACAGAGATACAGGCGGTGCGTCCATGACATCTGCAAGTCGAGAGATGGCGCAGCTGAGGTGGTGATGTCGGCCGCTACGCGCTTCCAATAGTGCGGCAGTTAACAATGTCGCGATATCTAGTGCCTCTCGCGAACCCTTGGGCTAGCGACTTTCTTTATCGAAACGTGTTTCAGCGGGGTCGTCCTTGTCAACCGACCGCTCTACCCTCGACGTCGTTTTCGTTTCGATCGCGATGTTCGGGTTGATCGGCCTCTGCGCGGTCGGGTCGGTGTAGCTGCGCTTGCATCATTGAAGATCATGCTCGCAAATTGGTTTAGGGGAAAGGGAGAGAAGTACGTAGGCGCGGGTACACCTGCTGTCTGAGATACAGGAGGCATTTCGCTTCCCTCAAATTAACGAGGTCGCAAAATAAATGCTCCACCGCTTCTTCGTTGTTGATGCTGCTGAAGTGCGGAGAAAAGCAAGCTGTTGATGCGCAACAGGGAACTAACCGCCCACGCCGCGTTTTCTGCCCGAATCCGAAAGGCAGTACTTCCCGGCCGGTGGTGATGCCATCTGGCGCGAGCTAGTTGGCTACATAAAGCAGTCGTGGGATACGGGCTCTGCACAAGCGTGGGCGGATAAGGAAAGGGGGGTGCGCAATATGCAAGTCTAGATCTACAGCAGTCTCCACCCCGGCAGCGCAGCAGCGGGTGGAGCTCCTGGGCATGAGGGAGGCTCGTTCGCGTCATTTGGGGGGTGAAATAGGGAACGGCCGTCCGTTGCAGGGAATAATGATAATACCCTCGAAGCCTTCTTTCCCTGGCATCTTGCTTGCTTTGCTCTTCCCCCTCTTATTTGCTTTTTAGCCTCGTCGTGCGAAGAAGCTTGTTCGTCCTCGTCTGCCTTTCGACTCGAGATAGCCCGACTGCATACCGATGCGAAGCGAGATAGCCACGCCGACAGAGAGATACGATGGACTACGGATACGCTGTGCCGATGGAGAGCCCTTTTGTGATCCCACATGAGGATGTAGAGGCGCTGGGCGAGTCAAAGGCCTTTTGCGCACTGAGGAGGCATCTGGCTGGTGATGCTGAGTATGTTCATGTTCCTGTTCCTCGTCCCCCGTCGCGAGCAGCTTATCGCGCTTCGTATCGCTTCTCTCCACCTCCACATGCCTATCCACCCCCAGCTCCACGGCAAACCTCAATCGCAATATCAAGTACTAACAAACATGCCAGCTTCTGCGCAACGCACACGCAATGTTCTCCCCAGGCGAAACAAACCTACGTACTCCACCGCGATATCCTCCACGCCCTCATCATGCCCGTCGTAACCCTCTTCTCCCGCGCATCCACACTGGCCTCGGCCGCACTATGCACACAACGCGCCTCTGATCTCGAACTCGCCTTCTCGGGCGAATCCCGCAGCGCATTTATCGGCCTGCAGTGCTTCATAACCGAAGAATCAGACTGGTGCCGCACCCGGGGCTGCCCAGCCTGCGTCGTAACAGCAACCCTCAGCACCGATAGCCACATCCGCCTGACCATTGCCGCAAGTCTGCTTAGCACAGCAAACATCGCGACGCCGACGCAAGAAGAACCGCCAAAGCACATCGAAGACAGAACACTGCCTCCCCTCCCCCACATCCTCCCCGCGCTCCAACACGCAGTCATAAACGACCCGTTCTGGGAAGGCTCGGAGATTTGGGGCTACATCCTCTCGCGCGCAACACAACTCTCCGCTGGTATCCAGGCCCTCATCGCTGAATGCGTGAACCTCGAGTCCCTCGTTTCTTCGCCTACGACCGAACGCCCCGGCTCGAAGCGTGGATTGACACATCCTACGGTGCCTTTTGTGGTATCCGGACAAGCGGTGCAGGAGAAGGGCGTCAAGCTTAGGAAGAGCAAGCTGGCAAAGCGACAACTCAGGCTGCGCGATGAGGAAGTGGAGCTCATGCGCAGAGTAGCCATGCAGTGCTGGGCGAAAGCTCAGGTACCCAAGCATGTCAGGGGAGAAGTACTAGGCTTGGGCGACAGCAAGAGGACGAGGAGTCTGACCTGCCCGTAAGCAACGGGTCTACACGGTCTATCAGCAGTGTGCTTGATGGATCGCAAGGGTGTTATATGGCGTTTTGAGGGCTCGCATATGGATGATACCACAGCATACCACTTTTCCTTGGGTTAGGCGGCATCTGACGTCGCGGGACTGGTTGGTTCCGCGGCTGGGTTGGGAGGCATATACATGGTATGGGGGTATTTCTTTTGTTTGGCATTAGATACTACTGGGGCACAAGTGGTCTTTAGAGGTCTAATATATCTATATGTTCGCTTTAAGTAAGTGCCCGTTCATGTCTCTTCAAATGGCTCCTGGTTCATTCTTGTGCCGACATTACCCCGCCAAAGGCTCAGCGACATCGTACAGTGGATATTGGGGGCCATATCCGCGCGTGACGGCTCGCCAATCGGCAGGTGGGTGGCGCGGTTGCTTGTAGCTGCATGCCTTCACATAGGGTGAGCATTCCCTCCCCGCTCCCCATCTTTCCCATCTTCCATTGACACAACAGATCTTCGAACTAGCCAAATCTTTCAACACAGTATCGAACCATGCCAGAACGCAGCGTCGCATCGTTCGAGATCGAACGACTGGAAATAAGCGACGGAATATCTGACAAGACAATCTACGAACCAATCCCAGCGGGCGAGTTCATACGCGTCTTGAAACTCCAACCCGGCGATACCGACCAAGACATCAAGTGCAGCCTCGAGATCGTCAACATAGAACAGTCCAAGGGCTCATATGAAGCCATATCTTACGTTTGGGGCGACCCCAACAATACTGTCAACGTGCAGTGTAATGGACAGCGGGTGCCGATCACCGTCAGCCTCGCAGATGCCCTCCGAACCTTTCGCCACGCATCTGAACCTCGAGTTCTATGGGCGGATGCTCTGTGTATCAACCAGGAAGACAAAAGTGAGAAAGGGCACCAAGTGAAGAGAATGGGCGAGGTGTATGCCAATGCGAAACGTACGCTTGTCTGGCTCGGTTGCGATGATCAAAACGTTGCCGAAGACGCATTTACTCTCATCCTCGAGGCGAATGCATATTTTGCAAACTCGTACTTGCAAGCACGCCAAAGTATTAGCAGGATGACTCCTTTTACAAAACCGTACCCTATTTCCATGAACAGAGAAATATGGTTAGGGGTCATGAGCCTCTTCGAATTTCCTTGGTTTAGAAGAGTATGGACTGTTCAGGAATCCGCCATCGCTGAGGAATGTCGCGTTTATTGGGGCTCAGCCAGCATTGATATTGCCGATGTATTGGAAATATGTGTGTGGCTTTCGCGAAGGTCAGACTTCAGAGAGACCATTCGCAACGCCGTTGGGAACTTCAATCGCTTAACAGGGAGAAACATAGATGTCTACCTTCACTACAATACGCACAGGACAAAACGATGGCAGCAATCCCGCATGGGACTGGCTTACTTAGCCACCCGCTTCAGAAAGAGCACTTTTACGATGCTCCTTCAAGCTTCCCGATATCTAAACGCAAGTGATCCTAGAGACCATGTTTACGCGTTCTTGGGTTGTCCAACCGCGATTGACAGTGAAGGCCGCACGTTCGTGGAGACAGACTATACTTCTTCCGTAGACGACCTCAATCTTCGTCTCGCCTACGCGCTAATGAACAATGCCGCGGAAGGGCCGTTCGTTCTTTCGGCTGCCACTCACAACAGGAGAGACAGACTTCTGAACGGCATGCATCCTTCTTGGCTACCGGTATGGCATGTTGGTGGGAAACGTCGCGTGAGAGTAGCGGACCCGGAAAACTGGTTCCAAGCTGGGGGCACCAGAGAACTCTTTACGGCCACCCAGTGTGGCGAGAATAGATTGAACATTGGTGCTTGCACCTTCGACATCGTCATCTGGAGGTCATCTACAATACAAATGGATCGTGCGGAGCTCACTCCCACTTATGTATCAACTAGCGGACTTCATGGAGTATTCGTCGACACGTTATGGAATGATGTGATGCGAAGTTCGTCACGATTTGGCATCGCAGTACGGCATGCCGACTTTTTCCGCAGCTTGATGATGGGTTACCCAAGAGACGATAGCTTCTCTGCCATCTCTGACAAGAGACAGCAAAAGTTGATTGAGACATATGAAAAGAGTATCATTGTGGCGAGACCGGGTGACCAGGAGGCTGTGATGGACGTGAAAGAGAGACTAGACGCAACATGGGTCAAGGCGAAACTTGACGAACTCTACGGCGCGAGTATGTTTTTGACTAGAGATGGGCGCATCGGAATAGCTCCACAGGGCGATCTGGTCGAAGTCGGCGATGTGTGCTGCGTTATCTTCGGGGCAACTGTGCCTTTTCTCCTCACACCGGTAAGAGAAGGCCGGCACAAGCTTATAAGCGAATGCTACATCAATGGTGTAATGAACGGCGAAATTATGCAACAGTTCGATGGGAACGATCTCAGCGAGCATCGTTTCGTTCTGGAATAGGCGAACCACATCGAACTCATCGAGCAGCATTATGAGGATAGTTTAGCATCGTAGCTTGGAATTGAATTAGCTGGGTCACTGTGTAGTTGCACAGGAGTTATAATATCTGTCACACATCGTTGTCACATAGAAGCCTGGTATACTTCAAGGCCTTTGGATATTATCTGCGCTCTCCGTGAAACTCACGAGATACATCACGCTACCCCGTGGCATTATTTACACTGCCCGTCGAGATTTTGAAGCGCATCACGCTACACCTTGCACTGACACCGGAAACTTGAAAGTCACGCGACATCCTCTAGCTCGAAGTCTATTCATGTGACATTTGTAGGCTCTTCGTGTGCCTCGGACGACTGTGCAACTATATCTGATACCTAAAGTCCGGTTCGCGATCCGTATACTGCTTGCCAGCAGGCATAGTATACCCTCGGGCAAGCTTGACATCCTTCCTCTTCTCCCTCCTTCTATATATCGCCCGAACAATCCACCATCCGCACCAAGCAAAAGCCAAACAGCCTAAACTCCAGGCGTGACCCAAGGTATACTTCGGCGCCGCATTGCTCTGATAGATCTGGCCAGATACTACCCCACCGATATTGGTGAGTGTAAGTAGAATACCCAAAGAAGCGGCACGCTTGCCATCGGGTGCACAGTTCGCAGATAGCCAGGTTATGTTTCCACCGGTGCAGAGAAAGCATGCTGTTGCGATGAGGTAAGTGGCGAAGTATTGGACGTATGGGCTCACTGGAGAGAGGAGTATGGCGTAGCCGGCGATGCCTACGGGCGCCATGAGGATTAGAGGTAGGAAGCGCGTTTGATACCGGTCAGAAAGGTATGCGCCGATTGCGTAGACGATGGCGCCCCAGATGTTGACGGGAATGACGAGATATTGTGCCTGTGCGCGTCAGCGACGTATCTAAAACCGTAAGTGGCTATCAATACCTGTTTGGTGGAGAAGTTGAAACCATTTCTGATGATGATAGGTAAAAAGGTTCCGAAACCATACAGAATCGTCACGACGGCGATCTGAATGACACCATGCACCCAGCTCTTAATATCCTTCGCTGCTTCTTTGATATCAGCTTTTCCATAATGACCAGAGCCCTCAGAGTCGGAGTAGGCTTGTGTTCGATGCGCGCGCTGGCGCATGAGAGCCTTCTCGTCTTCATTGAGGAAGTAGGCGGTTTCGAAGGATTTGGGGACGAGGAAGATGCAACAGGCTGCCCATATGATAGTGATGATACCCTCGATAACGTAAAGCCTGTATCATACATTAGTCCTAGTCAAGTGTGCGAAAGCTGCAGCCTACCATCGCCACCCCGACCACCCAGAAACTCCGTTCATGTACAGGATGCCGAATGCGATGAGGCCGCCAAAGGCTCCAGATAACGCCGAGGCGATGAACAAATATGCGATGCGGATACCCAGCTCTTCTCTAGTATACCAGTTACACAAGAACAGCGTCATTGCCGGAAACAGGCATCCTTCGAAGAAGCCAAGGAAGATACGCGTGGTGACCAATCCAGCGAAGTTCTGCACAAAGCCGGTGCATAGACACGTGATACCCCAGCAGAAAGTGATCGTTGGGATCACTCTGTTGAACTGGAGACGTTTGACAAGTAACGAGGTCGGAAACTAGATGAAGTTAGATGGGTATATCTGCAAATGGCGGACACACGTACTTCAGCGAGAATGTAAAAGATGTAGAATACCGACACAGCGGTCTATGCTTTTGTCAGCCTTGTGTTGTCCAGCATTCGAAATCACGATCTTCACGCACATTCAGCTCGCTACCCTTCAGTCCAATATCCGTCGTCATGCCCTGCGTCGCAGCAAACCCAATGTTGCCGCGATCCAGATAGCTGATGAGCATGAGCATCATCATGACTGGCGCAACGAAGCAATCCAGCTTTCGTCGCAAGGCATCTTCTTTCTTCTTGTTCTCGACGGTTTCCGGGGTCTCATCTTGCGCGAGATATTCACGCTGCACTTGTTCGTGCTTTTCGTCGGTTACCGAGCGTTCAAGGCCTGGCGTTGCCATTGCCGGAGGATTTCAGAAAACGAAGGAAACAGCAGCGGATGGTTCTACGATAGCTTATCCGAACTCAAAGGTCAGATAGTATCGTCTATTATGTATGTTTATTCGAAAGGCGCATACCCGGCCTGTATGTACGCGATGCGCCTTCCTACGCTCATTACTCGTGTCCATCGTCTAGGCCTAGGTGCTTCTCCAACTTCGATAAATACTCCGTCACTCGCTTCCATACGCAGGACGCCTGAAGAGTGAGTGATACAGAAAGGCTGCATATCGACGTCGGTGGCAGGGTGTAGAGTATTAGCCGGATTGCCGATCTGCGAACGTTGCGGAGGTGGAGAAGCCATGTGTGGTTCCCCAATGCGGGGTGAGATGCGGGGCTAGGCTTGGGGAAGCACGACGCGGCTTGGTGTGATGGGTATTCTGAGCAAGGAAGTACTGTCTGCGAGTAGATGGCCAGGATGAACGGTTGTGTGCGGGGAAAGATATTGGTGAGTCCGTCGCGACTGCAATCGCGTAGGAAACATCGCGCTACTGAGCATGGCTCCTGCCAATTGACGCTTCACAATAACGAGCCGAGACTACGATTACGAAAGTACTCCCATAAATCCAAAGAGAAGGAAACAATAATCGACAAGAAGGTACTGACACGATTACGTTCTCAACACGATGTCGTCACCAAGCAAGACTGTGGCCTTCATTGGTGCGTTCCTTCCTACCTAGCTAACCCTATCACTCCTCATACTTACGGTTCCCAGGTCTTGGCGTAATGGGCTATCCCATGGCCCTCAACCTCCGCAAAGGGCTCGACTCTTCTCATACCCTCCTGATCTGCGACGTCTCTACCTCCGCGCTCGAAAAGTTCCAATCAGACGCCTCAGGCCAGGGTCCAGTGGAAGTAGTAAAGAACGGATATGATGCTGTCCAAAGAGCCGACACCGTCATAACAATGCTTCCCGATTCCAATGCCGTAAAGAAGGTGTATCTTGATAAAGAAACAGGAGTCCTTGCCGGTGCGGAGAAACTACCAAAAGGTGGAGAGGAAAAGCTGATCATGGAATGCGGTACCATCGAAACAGCTACAATCCTGGAGGTTGCGAAAGCAGTGGAGAACTCCAGTGCGAGCAAGATGCTGACATTCGTCGATGCGCCGGTATCGGGTGGACCTATGGGTGCGCAGGACGGTACGTTGGCGTTCATGGCAGGCGCGAACAACAAGGACATCTTCCCTACCGTGAAGAGCTATCTGAGCCACATGGGCAAACCAGATGCTATATTTCTCTGCGGCGACATCGGCGCAGGTACAGCGTTCAAGGTCATCAACAATTACCTCAGTGCCATTACATCGCTCGCCGCGTCTGAAGCCCTGAACATCGCCTCGAAGATGGGGCTAGACGTTGCACTGCTTACGGATGTGATTAATGTCTCCGGGGGCCAGTGTTGGGTCACGAGTAAGAGCAATCCAGTGCCGGGTATACAAGCCAATGTGCCGAGTTCGCGAGGGTACGAAGGCGGGTTTCGCATCGAGCTTTGTGCAAAGGTTTTGGGCATGGGGAGTCAGCTTGCGGAGATGGTAGGCGCGCGTACTGTACTCGATAAGCCTACGTTGGAGGCTTTTGGTGAGGCGATGAAGGACGAGAGGTATAAAGGGAAGGACGCGAGGGTCGTGTATAAGTGGTTGAATGAGAGTGAGAGAAAATAGGATGTCGTATATCAGCTCCATCATAAGTTTCGCAATACGCGAAATTACGCCGTGTTGCACAAGACCCCCAATCGTGTTCAATCAACTCAGTTTCACAACCAGCAATAATGCTCGTTCTATGGATACATCGATCTACCTCCTAGCAGTTCGGTGCGGCATACTACCCCGTGGAGGCTACAACAGTGGATTGGAATGTAGAGCTAAGTGGGAAAAGGTATCTTGAGATATACGTGGTCCTTCCTACAGAGCATAGCATAAGCCTACTATCAATGTCCACGGCAAGGGCTTTGTAACATACGCCGTATATCTGATTGTGCAGCGCAACATAATCACGCCAGGAGGATACAGACAGGCTTATAAGCTCGAACTTGACCTGGAAACGTAGCCGGGAGGTGTTCGATGGTGCCCGTGGACGGGAAACAGCACCAACCCAAGGACTCAACGATCCGAAAGGACATATCAAGATCCGGCATAATCCCGCACAGGTCTGAGGAAGGCGCCTGCGCCAGGAAGATACAAAGTTAGATCCTCGAGTAAGACCTGAAAGTGTATCCTGGAGGGTTTCGCTGGTCCTTCCCTGAGAAAGGCATAGTTCCTTAGTCGAGTTCGATTGGAAAGAACCTCTCAAGGTGCGGCTTATCCTTGGATGCCATAGCAGAGTGTGCGCACGGCCAAAGGGATACAAAGGCCGTTGCGCACTCAAAATACATCTGATGCTGAATCTGGGAGGTAGTCGCGGTGTTGTATGTAAATATGGCGCAGCTCCCTAAGCGGCTTCCTTGGGAAGGAGTGCTCAAGATGCAGGTACGCTAGGCCTAATCGGTTGGCAGATCTCCAAGAGGTGCACGGCATATGCGTGTGCTAGGCAAATACGACGGCATTTGCGCTCTTGAAAAGTGTTGCGGTAATGCACCCGGGAGCTGTTTGCGGATCTTCACGTCGATGTGCCGATAGGACAAAAGACCGTGTAGACATCTGGCGTGTATTGAGACCAAAGTATAGGGAAAGCTCTATCTCATTGGGCTCGCTGCTCGGTCTACAGGACTACTTGTCCTCCCCGAGCCAACACCAGAAGCGAGTAGTTCAAGTCTCGATGCCTGGACACGGTGCTTCTTCATGACCTCCACCCACTCTTCCTCGACCTCCTGCTCCTCCGTCTGATCTGTGCTTTCTTCCAATTCTGCACGCAAGTCCTCTTCCAGGAGGGCAATCATCATGCTGAAATCGCCACCCAGTCTGCCCAGCGAACCAGCACAGTATAAGACCTGTGTAAGGAGCGAGTCGCGCTGGGAGCGATCCTGTACGTTTGGAAGATATGTTCGTAGGGTATCGAAGAGCATCTCTACTAGGTGTAGCGGAAACGTTGCGAGAGCCGACGGTATCGGCTGTAGGGGGTTGGATGTGTTGACTGGCTTTACAGCTGGCGCGCTTTCGTCGGATCCTGGTGCTGGCAAGGCGGAGGGGAAGATGCTCTTATACATGGATATGATGGCGAAGCTCTGTTCTCGGAAGACTTCAAGATACTTCTTCAGGTACTTTTCTGTTTGCTGACCCACGGCCCAGCCAGCGTCGCCTTTCGCTGCCTTGGTCGTTCGCTTTTCTGTCTCTTGGTCTGCGAGTTCGCGCAGAGGGTCTAGAGCGCCCAGCATCAACTCCAGACAGACTAACCGGCATACGAGAAATAATGCGCCCAGTGTGCCTTCTCCACTGCCTATGCCGGCTTGTTTTGTTGACCATGCTTCGTCCAATTCTGGCGCCACTCGTCTGAGCCACCCGATTGTTCGCATAGCACCTGCCAGCTTGATGCCCTGAGTCTGGAGCGAGCTTATCAGGTTGGTGGTCATGGTCTTCATCTCCTGCTCAGCTTGGGCAGCGAGCGACGAGACTAGCTCTGAGTTGGGGTATAACGTATGGAGACGCTTGATGTGTGCGTGGAGATCGAGAGCTGAGGCATAGTTCGCGTTGGCGGTGGCCGTTGACGATGAGGCTTGTGCGGCGGCTGTAGAGGAGCTGATGGCGGACGAGAGAAGGGTGGGGAGGTCGAGCACATCGGATACGCGGTCAATGTTGCGGGATAGCAACATTGCCTTTCTCCGTCTGTCTAGTATCGCATTGTCTGCCCCTCTACTGTATTTCTCGGAGAAGTTCTGCGCGGCTGTCTCCAGATTCGGCAGCTGTGCCTGTACGGTGCCTGCATCTTGGCCTATCCGCGGGAGTGTTTTGCGGAGGTGTAGGAGGTGGTCGGTCGAGGATATTATTGGTTTATGCGACCGCTTCGAGAGAGCTTGCAGTGATCGTAGTATAGACTGCGAGCTTTGTGATAGCGATTGCTGCTCGGAGGATGTCAGGGCAGCCAAGGGCAGGGCCGTGAGGCGGGAGAGGTACGTGTTGGTAACGGCGTCATTGGGGGAGGGCCGTAGCTGCGCGTCTTGGACGTCGAAGTAGGGTGTCAGTAGCTCGTAGAGGGGATCCGCCATGTTGTCGCGTTTCACTCGTCCAATGACGCGTGCAGCTGTTGAATTGCGTGTCGAGGGCAGCGTGGGGTGGCTGCCCAGATGTCGAGTTGCGGGCGGAGGTGCCACGAGGCTGACCCCTGCCGCGTTAGCGCCCTTTGCACTTCACATGCGGCCGCTACCGCAACATTGGAACCGCAGGACTCATGGATCGCGGCCACTCCCACACAGACAACCCCAATAGCGCGGACGACGACGCAAATAGACCACAGCAACCCAACGCAGTAGAGCGCTTCCTCGCTGAGCTGTTCCAGAATCGTTTTCTCACAGACCTCTCGACCGCCGACGACGAAGCTGCACCGACACGACCGATTTCGCCGCGAACGCTACCCTCGAATCACCTCGTGCCTTTCTTCACTGCCTCCAATACCTTTTCAGTACCGCAAAATCCAGTCAACACTGCAGAAGTGGCAGAAACTACATCACCGCATACTTCAGCACGCCAAATGCAAAGCGCGCAGGATGTCGTCTTCTGTGTCGAGGATACCGTGGGGCTCAAGGACGACAAGTACAGTGTCGGCATCATAGAGCGATCTTTTGGCGATGTCGACTCGCACGAGCCCCGGCCACAGCGCGACTACCCCGACGACATCGAACGCCACACCGATATCCCCAGGGAAGATTTCTGGAAGTTCATGAAAGACGGTATCCCGCCGCGGGGTACTGTCCTAGTGTCATGGCAGACCCAGTACAAGACGGAACTTATACCAGAAGCAAAGCTTCAGCTGCTAGATCGCGCGCTGTACGTAGGCGATGTGGTCAAGAGGAAGGCCGAAGATCATATTAGTGGTACAGTCATTGGCACGCAGGCAGTCTGCACCCTCTTCCCCGCGACCCTCTTCAACGGCGGCCAAATCACACAGACAACCACCGACGATCTATCAATACGGAACATTCCGGCCGACGAGCTCATCAACGTACACGAATTCGTCGAGGGCGCGCTAGTCGTGTACGGCGACTGGGTGGGGCGGGTAGAGAACGTTTACGACGAGGTCGCCATCAGGCTGGCCAACAACTCAGTCGTGGTCGTCGAGGACCCGGCCGAGCTGGAACAGGACGACACCACTCTCGAGCGGCTCAGCGTAGGCGACACAGTCAAGACCAAAAAGGGCAACCTGCGGCGGGGAAACTGGAGATTCGGCGCATACGATCCGAGCGTGCCGCCTGTGGGCATGGTAGTCGAGACAAGAGCATCCGAAATTGACGTGCAATGGCTAGCAAGAAGCATCGGCGCGCGCAACGTCGCCTTCAATGCAGACGAGCCTCCGGCGACAATCGGTCGAGACGAATTCGAGAGCCCCAACTTCTACCGATACGATGCCTCAGGAGGTACGGCCACAACACTCCCCGTCTCGGAAAACGGTGTCGACAAATCATACCATGTTACCGATGTGGCCGTAGGTGACCGGGTACGGTTCAAGGACATCGCCGGCGCTGCTGTAAAGTACGACGGCACGAGGGAACTACCCAACGGATATCCACAAGGGAAGGTGACACGCATCGCGCGGACGGAAAGCCTGGGATACGATCTTAATGTCTTCCTCGTGATGCAGACTCACAGTCGGGTCACCGTTCAGTGGCAAGACCTGTCCATAACGCACGATCTCAGCTCTTCTCTACTGCCAGATCCCAATGTAGAAGACGACGATGAGGTCTGGCCGGGTGAAGTTGTTTTCTCCAAAGAGAACCGCGAGGGTGACAACGCTGATGACTCTGCGACAAAGAAGCCTTCGAAGGTGGGTGTGGTCCAGACAGTCAAGGGCCGAGATCGGATAGCTACTGTGCGATGGTTCAAGAACCCTTCCATCGAGTTCTTCGGCCCAGATCTACTTCCTCCGTCAAGTACAGGCGAATTACACGAGACCGTTGAAGACGTCAGTCTATACGACATTTACTCTTTCCCAGCACTAACACGAAGGCGCGGCGACTTTGTACTTGTACATCCAGACTCAATCGAAGGTGTACAGACGCCGCTCAACGTCACTGGCCCCGACTGGTTTGGAGAGGTCATCGACCTGGGTCTGGACGGAAAGCTCACTGTTCGCCTTGGCGCAGCAAAGCCTGTCGTGGATGTCAAGGTTCCCTACGAACGCGTCACTCTCGCCTACAGCAGTGACATGGCTGATGATTTCGGTAACATGGATCCGCTAGAAGGTGAATACATCGATGACTCCGATGAGAGTGATGAGAGCGATTTCGACACGGCGTCATTCAACGAAATGTGGATCGAGTATGAGGGTATGGATGGTGAACAGCCTGTTGGCGACGAAGGAGATTGGTCGACGGAGGATGAAGACGAAGAGGAAGAAGATGATGGTAACACGGATACATCAATGCCCGATCTTGTCGACATCACGAAAGAAGTCGATACATCGAAGACAACTCCCGAAGAGCAACCCGATGAAGACGGCGGCATAGCGCTGGATGATCATACGGGACAGCCGACAGAGGGGCCAGCTTCTTTCCTCATCCTCGAAGAAGCCCCAC